AATTTATTATTATTTAATCTTTTAATTTTAGTATTAAAATTTTAAATTATATTTTATTAAATTAAAATAATTACAATATATTTTTCTACTTTGAGAATGAACAATATAATTAAACTCAAAATTGACAATATTATAATACAATTTTGAACTGTTTTTGATTAATTTTTTTTTCCTAATTTTTGATAAAGTTAATTTTAATATTTAAAAGTATTTAACATTTTGAATTCTAAAAGGTTTTCTCTAATAGAAAATTTAAAAACATAATATAAAAAAATAGTTAATATAAGTTTTCAAGTTATTTTAACTGATAAAAATAAGTTTTAATCGATTAAAACGTCTGTGCAAAATTTTTTTAATCGATTGAAACTAGATTTAATCGATTAAAATAGTTATGATCGGTCATAATTGCATTCTGACCGATCATAATTGAAACCATATAATAGCGGTTCAACGGTTAACCGCTATCTAAGTGAGCTTTTAAGAGTGGTTCCTGTGTAACCGCTATCTAAATCTGTATCTCGCTTGAGCAACAACTTTCTCGCTCGAGCGAAACGCCCCTGCACAAAATTGGTACTCTCGGGTTGTATTTCGCTTGAGCGAGTATAGTCTCGCTCGAGCGATAATTGATTCTGATCGATTATATTTTTGAAATGATCGATCATATTTGATAATTTTTTCAAATAATTAATTATAATCGATTAGTTTTCTAAATTATTGATTAGAATTGATTAGTTTTTCAAATAATAGATTAGAATTGATTAATTTCTGAAATATATACTAAAAAATTATAATTAAAACTATAAATTAGTTAAGAATATTGACTATTGTAAAGATAAAGTAGAACATGGGAGGAGATGAGGATGATATAATATAATGATAGAACTTACAAAAATGTAGAATTGAGAAGTTAAAAAAAAAATTAAGAAAATAGAGATTTAATTATACTTTTAATAAATTTAAGATAATACTAGTTTTTAAACCTTTTTCTAATATTTGTTTTTAAAAATATAATATCATTTTTAATATTTTATAGATTTTATATTTATATATTTATAAAAGTAATTGGATTAAATTTATTATCCTCTCATATATTATTATACATTTAGCGTAATTTTAGTTTATTTAAAAATTAGAATACAAATATACTATACCAATATACCATTATATTATTTTCATTGTATATAAATTACAAAATTAATAATTTGTATACTATACTATACTAACATATTATTTGTATACTATACTAATAGTATAATATACTATATTATAATATTATTTGTATACAAAACTAATATCTTTATATATAAATATATAAATATGGAAAGATATAAATATATGTAAAAATATAAACATATAAATATATATAAATATGTAAAGATATAAACATATATCTTTAATATTTTGTAAATGTAAATATAATTTATATATATTTTTAAATCTTTTTCTAATATTTATTTTTAAAAATATAATATTATTTTTAAAATTTAATATTTTTTTTTCAAATATATAAATATATAAAGATATAAATGTATAAGGATATAAATAAATATATAAATATATCAAAATATAAAAATATAAATATATAAATATATTAATATATTAATATATAAATATATAAATATATAAATATATAAATATATAAATATATAAATATATTAATATACAAATATATTAATATATAAATATATAAATATATCAATATATAAATATATATAAATATATATAAATATATATATATATATATATATATCTATATATATATATATATATATATATATATATACAAATATATCAATATTATCCCCTCATATATTAATATACATTATTAGCATAATTTTAATTTAATTAAAAATTAGAATACAAATATACGATACTATACTAATATACCATTATTTGTAGATTTTATATATTAAAATATATAAATATATTTTTATTTATAGATTTCATATTTATATATTTATACTGGATATACATTTATTTGTATATAAATATAATTTATTTGTAAGTTATTATTAAAAGATCCTAAGTAGCTTAGCTGGTTGGAGTTTCAACCTCCAACTCTAAGGTACCGGGTTCAATCCTGACAATGACAATAAACCACCTAATAATAAGTTAAACTTCTAAAAAATATAATAAAGATAGGGGAAATAAATATAAATAAAAACTTAAATAAGCAAAATATAATATAATTAAGAGATAGGGAAAATAAATAATAGATATAATAAAAGTGTAAATAAATAAAAAGAATTAAATTTGTTATTAATTAAATTTATCTGATCATCGAATCTAGTCACTAAAATCGATGACCAAGGAAATAGTGACCGATTCCAGCTTAGTCACTATTTCGGTCACTATTTTAATTAGTAACCGATTTTGCAGATTTAGTGACCGAATTTTCGGTCACTATTTGATGTTTTTCTTGTAGTGATTCAGGTACGCTTTCGCATTCAGTTTACAACATGTTTATCAAGTATGAGATTATGTTTATGTTTGATCGTTAGAATCAAAATCAGGATTATTATTATTATTATTATTATTATTATTATTATTATTATTATTGTTTTTCCAACATGCAGCTTCATTTATCCCAAGGTTAAAAAATTATTAAGGTCATAATTATTGTTATATATAAACTTTGAAAATAACATTGCGTATTATTTCTCATTTTAGTCTAATAGGCATATATGAATATAATTATTATGTTATATTCTGGATGAGAGTCATATTTTGTGCGACTATTATTAATTCTTGGGTAGAGATAATTTATTTTATTAATACTTCAATTTATTTATTTTTATCAATATTTTATATTAATGACACTTAAATTATTATTTAGGTATTTCAAAATTCATCTATTGTCTAAATATGATATTTTACAAATAAAGGAGAAATGAGCCAGATTTTTTGTACTAAATTTTTAATATTTCTAACCTTTGTAAATATAGTTAATCTTATGTAATTTATGATAATTTTGTTTTATTTAATAGATTGTTAAATTTTTTCTATTTTAATTTGATATATATTGATATACTTTAGTAACTACTATAATTAAGTTATACTTTGAATAATTGAGTTTTTATATATAAACGTTTTATATAGAGGTTTTGATTGCTAAATAAAAATAGAATTGCATATTAAAAAAAGTGTCAAAATTTATATTGGACACTACATCTACCAACATAAATTTACGTATGTTGTAATAGGGTTGCCGACGTGAATCTACATCGTGTATGACCATACCCACATAAATTTTAGCATTTTTTTTTTGAACTTTATCAAACTTTTATACATCAGATCCACCGTATATTCAATGTAAATTTACATTAATGTTTATTTAATTTTATGTAAATTTACATTAATTAAAAGAACTAACATAAATTTACGTATGTCGATTCTTATTTTAATATAAAAAATAAAAAATAACATGAGTTATCTAAAAAAAGATGTTATATATCAAGTAAATAGCACGTATGAACATTTTTAACAAAGTTTTACTTAATAAAAGTTATCTATGATAAAATTATAACAATTAAGAGATTTGCTGTAAATATTAAAACAAAACAAAAAATCAAATGCAATGATAATAATAATAATAATAATAATAATAATAATAATAATAATAATAATAATAATAATAATAATAATAATAATAATAATAATAAACCTAAGGGTCATTTTGTAATTTGCTCTTTCATCATACCTTTTTAAAAGAAAACATATTTTCACATATGTAATTCTTTAAATTTTTAACATTAATGATTAATTTCAATCAAGGCATGTTGAAGGATCAAAATATAAAATTAGACAACCATATAACTAATAGACCCATCATCTAAACTCAAATTTATGGTCAATACATGAACATTTTTTTATACAAAGCAAATTTAGACCATATGAATATCCATACGGTGAAGCTATTAAAATTTATTTAACATTTACATTATCATTAAAAAAAGTTATTCACATTTTTTTTCTTTAATATTAACAAATCTAATATATTTTATGTCTATATTTTTAATATTGAATTCTCATTATAAGAGTTTTTTTTATTTAATATGTTCTCATATATTATATACTAGTTGAAAGTTATTATTAGAAAAATATATTTTTTTTTACATTTTAAATATATTATTAAATATTTTATATAAATTAAATTAATTTTTCTCAATATTCTAATAAAAAATTACCAAGCAACCTTTAATTTAAAAATAATATTTAAGTAAAAATAAATAAATAATTTTTTTTAAACTTTAGTTTCAAAGTTACTTTTGAGGTAAAAAAGAAGAAGAAGAAGAGTGAATCATACCCTTAATGCATAATATTTCTAAAAACAAGGAGTGCTAAATTAAATTTTGAAATGAAAATAAATTCCATATATCTTAATATTTTGTTTGATAATTAATATTTTTATTAATATTATAATTTTACAGAAATATGTTTCTATGCTTTTTAATTTTAATAATAATAATAATAATATAATCCTTTTTATGTTGGGATGAATTAAAATTTTGAAATGAAAAATTTAAAATTTAAAATTGTAAAGAAAAGTTTAAAACTTGTATATCTTTAATTAGATGAGATTATTTTTAAATTTTAAGAATTTTCTTTTTCTTGTTCCATTTTCTCCTTCTCTACGTACGTAGATATTTTCTAAAAAAACTATCATTTATATTATGTTAGTTGTCTTTAACTAATTTTTAAATATTACAAATTTAAAGGCTAATCTCTCAAATACATATTAGTTTGTAATTTTATTTATATTAAAGTTATTTAAATTAAACATTGAGCTTATTCAAGCGTAATATTTGCTTGACCAACAAACTATCTTCCGATTTCAACGCTTCAAATTTGTCTCCTTTCATTGAAACTGATTAATGTTCAACAAACATTCTCGAATTTTCTGCAAAATTGTGTAGGGAAACATAACAAAGAAAAAGAGTTATGGAGAGATTGTGTAAATATACATAAAAGATTTGTTATTGATTGAATCTTCCTTTTCAATGGAAGATAGGAAAGGAGATGTCAGAGTATATTTGATCTCTGGGTTCTTTTTGGCATGCACCATTGGAGGAGGTGCCTTTCTTTGTATGTATGTAATAAATCCAGATTCATCATTTGTACATTACTATCTTAGTGCAGGCATGGTGTTGGTTGCAATACCATGGATATTTTGGCTTTTCATTTATATATATAGATGCTTTAAACCCATGGAGGACCAATCCAGTAATGGTGGTAAGGTTGCAGCTTCACAAAATTGTAACCTAACAAATGTTGTGACCAACATCTGTGATGATGAAAAACCCTCTGATCAACGTCCTCATGATGGTGGTGGAGCAAACCATGTTCCTTTTTGAGGAGTTGATGAGAAGAGGAACAAAAGGAAAGAACACCATTATGCAGAAGTTGGCCAGAATTACCAGATAAGTTCAATGAAGAAGTAACAACAATACCATCTAGTGAAAAATTTGACTTTGAAATCTTGATGAGGATTCTATGCATGATGGTGTTGTTCAATGGAACCTGATGCAAGTGATAGTGTGAATATAGTTGAATGTCATGCATGACAAAGATCAGAGGGTCATGCATGTGTGAGAAGATGAGATGAGACAAACTAGTGAGATGAAATTAGGTTCTAAGTCTTAATTAATTGTAGAGAAGGGACAAATTCACTAGAATGATTTGTCTCCAAGAGTAGTGATTTTGTAAGGAGTTTTGTATTTTCGCTTTTGAGGATGTTTACTTAATGAATGAATGATGTAGATATGATAGCATTGAGTTAGAATTGAAATATAGGAAAAAGAAAAGTTCATCTTCTAACCTTGATCTTTATTGCATTTCTTCCATTTTTTTTTTCTCTCTCTTGTATATGTACCTTTTTTATTCTTTTAAGTAAATGGGGCAAAATACATGAAAATAAAAATAAAAATCAGGCTTTTAAGGGTCAAGTGTTTGATATCTAGTCAAATCCAAGAATAAATACCAAAATAAAATGATAAGACAAAAGATATGTTTAACACTTTTCTTCTTTTAAAGGGTAAATTTTCTATCATGTTTTAGTTTGTATTGATTAAGTTGATAATCAAATATATGAACTTCAAAATGGCTAACAAATCAAATGAAGAATTGGTTTTAAGATTATTTATAAACGAGAATATTCTGATTTTATATACACTTTAATATAGTTAAGATTAATTTTTATGTCTAAATATTATTTATTTTTAAGATTTTCTGTATAATAATTTTATCTTTAAAAATATCTTGGTTAAGAAAAGAAAATATATTTAAATTATTCTTATCTTTAATTCTAAAAATACCATTATATTTGTTATGTTATTCTTTTAACACTTTTTTTTATTTTTAAATTTAAAAATATCTCGTACAAATTTCTAAAGTCATTTAAATATGGGTTTAGGATAATACATTTCTTGTTAACCTTTTATATTGAAAGATAAAACGTTACAAAGATTATTTTCTAATCAAACTTTTCACTATGTTTTTAATTTTTATTTAATGTTTTTATCAATTTTTTGGAATTTAGACTTTTTTTAATCATACTACTTTAGTTTCTTATGCACTTAAGTGTTTAAGGGGGAGACTGTAATTTAGGGAGCATAATAAATTATATTGCTTTAGTTTAAATACATTCTACTATACCATTTTATTTTATATTTCATAATTTAGTTTAAACACAGTTTTCAAATCAAATTATATAATTTTCAATTTTTGTATATCTTATTTTATTTTTATATATTTCAATTGTTTCATTTAATCCATAGTACACATTATGGTTTAAAATAATACATAGCGATAATAAGCTATTTACTATTATATTTTTATAATTATTAATTTAATTAAAACAATATAAATATATAGGTGACAATTTAACTATTTTACTAGAATAAAATCCGAATTATAATTTATAATTAAATAATATTTATATAAAAATTGTAGAAAACTAGTAACGAATTGTTTATTAAAATATTTTGATTATATATACAGTTGAAATTAAAATAATTGTGTATGATATAAATAATCATATAATTTTAAAAGTTTGCCATTTGAATATTATTTAAATACCTTTTTATGAAAAAATATTATATATATAAATATGGTTATTTATATATTTAATAACAGAAAATAGCTTTATATTCAATGAAAAGTTATTTAATTAATTATAAAATAACTATTTTCTAAAAATATATTCTTTATAATTGTTTTTTTATGGAGTAACAAATTCTACTTAAAAAATAAGAATAACCAAGTTAATAAATATTTTAGATCAGTATAAAAGGATATGAAAATATAAATGTGTCTTAAGGATATAAAAAAATAAAATATATTTAGTTGATCCTCCAAGCATACTTTTTATAATATCCAGATTATTCATCAATTTTACCAATAATAATTTTTAATTAACTATGGGACACATGGCACCAATTCACAACAACCAAAAAATTCACTCCATTTCCGAGGTTCATTTAATTTATGGGTCGCGATATTTTGACAACTGAGATTAAATATCGAACGATAATTTTAATTAAAAAATATTAAATGTACGTTACCTTTCATTTCTTTTCTTTCGTTTCGTTTTTTCTTCTTCTCTCCCTTCACATTTCTTGCACTCTTCATTCTGCATTTCAGTCTCCCTCTCTGCGATTACAGAGCTCACAATCATGGAAGACGGGGTTTTTCCTCTCTCTGATTACCAGGGTCTCACTCAGCTCTGCGATTACGGAGCTCACGGTCACGGAAGACGTGTTTTCCCTCTCTCTGATTACCGGGGTCTCACTCAGCTCTACGATTACGGAGCTCACAGTCACGGAAGACGTGGTTCTCCTTCTCTCTGATTACCGGGGTCTCACTCAGTAACTCTCATTGAGTATTGGTTCCAGGTTTTTAATCGCACCGCGTATTGGTTCCAGGTTTTTATTCGCACTGCTTTGGCTGCATCTGCTGGGTCTGCCTCATTCTAGGTTTAGTTAATTAAGGATTAGGGTGAATTTTTTTTATTTAGGCGCATCTGCTGTGTCTGCCTTGTGCTAGGTTTAGTTAATTGAGGATTAGTGGAATTTTTTTATTTAGGCGCATCTGTTGTGTCCGCCCTGTGCTAGGTTTAGTTAATTGAGGATTAGGGTAAATTTTGTTTGATTTAGGCGCATATGTTGTGTCGGCCTTGTGCTGTATGGTGCATTCCTTAACATCTCTTTCAATTAGCTGAATTTTATGTTTCATGGATACATAGGTTCCTTTATCTCTATGTGAACTAAGTTAAACCATGTTTCATGTAATTTCTTGTCATAGTGTAATGAAGGTGCCAGCTGGACAATTAGTTGAATTTTATGTTTCATGGATACATAGGTTCCTTTATCTCTATGTGAACTAAGTTAAACCATGAGATGTAATTTCTTGTCATAGTGTAATGAAGGTGCCAGCTGGACAATTAGTTGAATTTTATGTTTCATGGATACATAGGTTCCTTTATCTCTATGTGAACTAAGTTAAACCATGTAATTTCTTGTCATAGTGTAATGAAGGTGCCAGCTGGACAAGCATACATGAAATAATGATGCAGCAAATATACAATGAGAGGGGCAAAATATGGGAAATGATTGGGTAGTTGCTAACAACTCGAAAATTCAGGAAGTGAGACGTGGGACTAGGACACTTAACTGTATTAGCATGTTGAGAGAATTTGTGTGAGGAATCTTTCATATAAGGAGAGGGAGAAGGAGGTAGTGGAGGTGTAATGAACTTGTATCTCTCTTTCTGAAAATTCTCTTACCTTTTCTCTGAATCTATGATTTTGCTATACCTTTTCAGTCATCTTGGTTGGTAGGAAATTTCTTACGGATTTTAATAAAACAGTACCATCATTTTCTTCCTTATCTGTATTCTTAAATCTCATCACATTGGTGCTTTCATTGAGCCATGGCGGAAAACACCAGATTGAAAAAGATCTCCAGGCGAATGTGAAACACAATTATGAAACATTGGAGAGATATTACTTGGACCTACAAACCCAGATTGCAAAGCTGGAATCGGTGAATTCTGTTCGTTTTGAACGCCTGGAGTCGGTGATTCAAGAAAATGATTCCAAATTCAATCAGATTTCTGGTGCTTTGGAGACTCTGTTGCAACGTCATTCTTCCTCCTATGGTCCATCGAACTCGTATAAGCCACCCTTCCAAGTACGAAACGTGAAGCTTGATTTTTCTCGTTGTGATGGTAATAATGTTCTGGATTGGATCTTTAAAGCGGAACAATTTTTTGACTATTATGCTGCCGCTGAGGTTGATCGCTTGTCCATTGCCTCGGTGCATTTAGATAATGACGTTGTGTCTTGGTTCCAAATGATGCAACGATCATCTCCGTTCTGCTCTTGGCATGCTTTTACTGACGCCCTAACACTAGATTTTTGGGCCATCCGGATATGAGTGTCCTCGGGCTTTTTTATTCAAGCTTACCCAAACTAGTACTGTTGGTGAGTATTACAAAGAATTTATTGGTTTAGCTAACTGTGTGTCGGGCATCAATAATGAGGCTTTATTGGACTGTTTTTTGAGTGGCCTTCAAGATGAGATTCATAGGGATGTTATGGCATTATCTCCGCATAACCTTCCCAAGGCTGTCGCATTAGCCAAATTATTTGAGGAGAAATATAATCCACCCATTGCAGCTAAGAACCCTGTATTTCCGCACTGATCATCCAATTTTTTTCCTAACCGCACCCCCTATAATACCAAAACTGATATCTTTTGTACCTTACCAAAATCCAACTTACCACCTTTACTTCCCAATCCTAACATTAAACCTCTGTCTCAAAACACCAAACACAACCAAATCAAAAAAATTTCCCCTGCGGAGATGCAGCTTCGAAGAGAAAAAGGCCTATGCTATTTTTGTGATTAGAAATTTTCCTTCACTCACAAATGCCCAAATCGTCAAATGTTGACGTTGCAATTAATTGATGATGACTTTGGGGATTCTCATGAACCGGATCCCCTGATTTATCACAAACGACTAATGAAGTGTGTCAAACCGAACATCATCTTTCACTCAATGCCATGAAGGGAGTGGGTGGTGTGGGCACCATTGACTTCACTGGTCATATTGGACCTATTACAGTTAAGGTTTTGGTTGATGGCGGCAGTTCAGACAACTTTATCAAACCTTTGATTTCTCAATTTTTGAGGCTACCAATCGAACCTGTTACCGGCTTTCCAGTTTTTGTAGGCAATGGTCAATCCATGACTACAGAGGGAAGGATACAACAGTTGGCAGTGACAATTCAGGGTCATCAGTTGGTGGTTCCAGTGTATTTACTTCCAGTTTTAGGTGCCGACCTTGTTCTAGGATCGTCTTGGCTTGCCACTCTTGGTCCTCACATTGCGGACTATGCCACGTCCACTCTTAAATTTTTTCAGCAGGGTAAGTTCGTTGTTTTGCAAGGTGAACATCTGACCCACAATGCAACTGTAAAAGAAAAATGTAGTGGTATTTAAGACATGACAACCTTTTCTTTCCATTTTAATGTTAAGTAAACAAGTTACATTACTGCATGAAGATTCGTTTGGGTAAATAGCTTAATCATGGACAAAAAAAAAAGAATCTTGAACCATGGTCGTAATCCTCGATTAATCTCCCCTTAGAAGTTCATTTAAATGCCTCCAAAATGTATAAAGTGGAGTGATTGTAATTTTTGAGCCTTTGTTATTCAATTTGTAATGAAATTTTTGTCCTTTTTAGGTGGATATAGAAAAGACATCAAGTGTGAGACTGAGACTGTCAGTATACATTAGTTCCAATTTAAAAAGTGACATAACTAACGATCTTTTTAACGTAATTATTTGGTAGTAGAGCAAAGAGTGGTTGGAGAAAGTTTCTGAAACAATTCATCTACTCATATAATCTGGAGAGTCATTTGTGCTTCTACTGACAGGTATAAATTAATTTTATCATTTCTCTGAACATGATAATTTACTCATTATGTTTGTGACGAGATAATCAATACGAAGAATGTACTGCTTTAATTGCTAGCGATACACACTTGAGTTTGTATTGCTTTGTTGTATTAGTGAAATTTTGGACGTTTATGATTTTAATATGTAAATTTTTGTATTGGATCAAAAGAAGTATATACATTTGTTGGACTTATAGTAAATGTCATCATAGTAAATAAATTGTATGCTATGAACTTAAATTAAATAGGGTTATATGTATTTGCAGTTTGAAATGGAAAAATATGGAAGCATAGATGATGGATCTTCAAATGTTAAGAAGGTGACTACTGTATCTATTTGTATAATATTGGATATTCTTTGTGATAATTATAATTATTTATTATGATTTTCAGGTATATTTGCGACATGTTTATAGGACAAATTATTTAGGTCAAATGAATAACATTCTTACAATAGAGCAAAAAGGTCGTATTGAGTCAACACCATTTACATGATTGATGTCATTGGGTAGAAATGTTAAAATTAGTAGAACATTGCTTAGTAAATTAATAAGTAGATGGGTTGAAAAGAGAGGAGGATTTAATATAAGGTCTGAAATAGTATGTTTTACATTGTTAGATGTGTGTTTAGGTTTAGGACTTCGTGTAGTAGGCGAAAATGTCAAAATTGTAGAAACAGGCATTGATTGTCATACTAGGAGACTATTTAATGCGAAACATGTTATTTTGGAAATGATTTTTAATGAATTTGTTAAATGTAAAAATGAAAAGGATGTCAATGACTTTTGTAGGTTGTACATACTTTTAGGTTTGTAAGAGTTTTTGTTCCCAAATAAACTAGGTACCGCACATTCTGGGCTTTTTAAGTTAGTAGATAATATATCTTGTCTTGGAAAGTATAATTGGGGAAAAACAGTGTATGAATATCTGGTTGAAAGTTTATGTGAAACATCAATTTGTTTGAAGAAGCGAAGAAATTGTTCACACTTGCATGTACTAGGATGTGTGTTTTTGTTACAGGTAAATCATAAATTACCATTTATATTTTGTTAGACTACTTTCAATATAGTTATTTGATTTGATATTGTGCATTTTGTTGATATTAATTCAGATATGGGCTATGAAGCATCTAGTTTACAATACCAAATCATGTAATGAGATAAGTTGATTTTCGATATTTTTACAATGGACCTCTGTTGTAATTGGGGAAAATAACATTATAGCTACGATTAATCATAATAAGGTTAGTTGATTAAAAATTTAGTAGAAGTTGTTTACAAAATTACTTTATCATATGTTAAAATGTGATTTGAATTTGATATTGTTTTTTATTGATAGGTTATTCATGATTTGTGTGTTAGAAATAAAGACTTTACTCATGATATAGTGAAAGAAGCGTTAGCACGTACCACTCATGAATATGAAGAATTGAAAAATTGTATTGATATCTTGTGTGGAATTATTGCGGAGAATAAATTATTGATTGCCTTAACCAAATAACAAGAATCAACAATTGTAAAACTAGAGGGGGATGTAACACAATTACAAGAATTGTTAGATGAAGCAAACGTATCAACAAAAGAGGTAAATCATCCATCATCTGGGATTTACTTTTCTCCTGTATTTGAAGATAGTAGTAGTAAGGAGATGAAACATCATACTGAAGCAACAAAAGAATCAAAGTTGCATTGTGAAAGGTCAAATATGTATGTTCGACTTAAAGCTCATCCAAGAATAAGGTATAAAAGTTTTATGATCAAGACACCATGGACGACTAATTCAAGGAAAAGAAAAAAGGCCACATAAGTGTTGTGTAGATAAATTATTTTGTTAGGTTTACTTCTTTTGTCCTAAGAAACATATTAATTTA